AACTGGATGCTGAACAAGCCTTTCTGTTACCTTTAAAAATTAATTTTCCATGAGTGACAATTCACCCAGTGACCTGTGGGATCAGCTCCTTTTCAGCTAAGAAGTGGCCTGGGTGATTTCTCTGACACTTGCAAAGCTACCTTATTAAAACTTGCTACTGTCACCAAAAAAAATAAAGAACTAGAGAGCAAATCCATAAAAGCTGCACAGCAACATCTACAGGAGTAGTCATTTTGTTTGACTTTAGCAGAAGAAAATGGAAATGTGTTTAATAAACACTTAGCATGGCAAGTCAAAGCAATCTATGACTTCAACAGTTTTCAGTTCATATCATACTTGAGTTTCCTGCACAAAATGAGGAGTATGTTTGAAAATTACCTATTTCTCTTCTTATTATTCAATCAGCTTGTGCCTGCACTTTCCAGTAAGAGTTTAGTTTTGTCCATTCAGAGAAGTCAGCTGCAGGTAAGAATATTTTCCAGTCTCTCAGAGGAGTTTATGCTTTGTTAGCACTCAGCATATTACTTGCTCTTTTTGCAGTCTCCTGGTTAAATCATTGCAGGCAAAACAAGTGAATTTTTTCGCATCAAAAGAATCTCATTCATGTATGTAGCAGACCATAAATTGTGTCTAGATTACTAAAAGATTCTTTACTACTAAAGCAGCCTGACTCTACATGATAGTAAAACTACAGTTTTCAAGTGTATGCTAATGACCGAGGAGTTTAATTCTCACTATGTGCCCATCAACAGGACTTCTGTGTGCTCCAGTCTCTTTTGAAAGGTGCTTTTAGAAATACTACTGCAGCCTTGAAGATTAGAAGAAATTCTATTAGAAGCAAACAGCTGGTTGACATGTAATCCTGGATCCTCCTGAGGGATAGCCAGGATTCATATAAAAGCTTTAAATCTGTCTCAACAATTACACAAATGATTAAAAGTCCTGTTTAAAGCTAAGCTAATGCATGGATGTTGAGGAAAAATTCCTACTAGCCTAGTCTATACCTTGAGCTTTAACTACCTCTTATGCATCATTTTAAAGAAAAGCAGATCTGGAATGGTTTTAAATGATGAAAACAGTATACTTGGAACTGAACTGCTTCAGTAACTAGTTGTGTTTAACAAAGCATAGTACTTCTATTCTGTGTGGCAGGAAAACATAGAGTGGGAGAAAAACTCCAGCAGATTCTGAACAAAACCACTGCACAGGTTCTGCAAGGCTGCCCAAGACCAGCATATTAATTCCACTGCAAAGTGGTCAATCTTAACACAAAGATGCTGGTGGCATCTAATTTTATTCTAAAACTGATATTGCTTTGCCTAAAGGAGTGAACCATAGAACCCTGAACAAGAGGGATGCATAAGTTTTCCTAAGCCATGAGTCATGGATTGATCACAGGACATTACATACTGGATACCAGTACTAAAGGAGTCCTCTTGGAGTGCTGGAAGAACCATCACACACCTTTGTCCCATTCCAATGGCACAGCACACCTGAAATTGTCCATCCAATTTGCCATGCCTGTACTTGTGTCCACCAGAAATAGATATAATGCAAAGCTATGCTTTGGGAATGATCTCAGCTGAGCCCTCCTCACATGAGTGCAAAGATATAGTGATCTTCCAATATTGTTTTCTTATATTTTTTCTGTCCAAAACCACTGAAGCAGCTTGAATTCATGGTGCTCAGGTGTTTAAGACATATAAAATCAAGACCTGCACTGCAGTTCTGAGAATATAAATTGACCCCTGGATGAAACAACTAAATCTCTGAGGCACAGATGGGTTAATGTCCCTGGGGATAGCACGGGAAGCAGTTTGAACCTATCATTTTGTGAACTCAGGGGAAGTCCTGGCTCAAAATATGTTCTAATACATCTATAAAAATATAGCATTAACTTTCTGCCAGGTCTTCAGGCAAACTGCTCTTGTGTGCACTTTGTAGGCAAAGAAATTTGAGAGAAAGGGGTCCTAAAAGTCAAAACACAGGTATTAGGAAATCCTGCTTTTATTTCCATTCTTCATAGGAAATGAGTTCCGTTCAACATGACATTTGCATTGTTTGCTTAGTTTACGTCTCTCCTGGTAAACTGAGGAGCCTGGCCAAAAGGCAGATGGCATAGCTGAACTCACATTTGTACAGATACGTGTTCTTCTGTCCCAAAACTCTGTTCCTGCTTGTACTACTTGTTGAGAGAAATCCCTTATCCATGGGAGGCATGGGAGACAGCAGAAAATTCCTCCCACACATTTTAGACACTGATATTAGGGAAAAAACTAAAGGCGATCCTTAAATGTATAGGTTACATTAAAACACCTATATTGTAGTGTTAACATCTGGTGTGAAGAATCTTTTTCTATGTGATGAGACTTCTTCCCTCTCTCTGATACCTATTTAAAAGGAGATTTTAAATTAAAGCAGGGTTCCACACAAGGCCTGGGAGAGGGTTTTGTTAAGTGTGAGTACAGCCTATCCCAGGAGCTCCCATCGTGATGCATGTGGCACAGGCAATCTCCATCCAGAAGACTTGAGGTTTACTGAGAAATACACCATAGTACTGTGAGGACACAGTGAAGAATATTAAATTACTGGCATTAAGCATAAGAATCTCATGCACCATTCTCCATTTTCCTTCATAAAGGAGACTCCAAGAAAATGCAGGTCAGTTTAGTACTAGAGTCAGCAGGTATGATACTGAGACTGGAAAATGTAATTTTCTCATCCTTCTGGGGCAAACAAAGCTTAACCTGAGTCTGAAGGACCTATGTCCTAGACAACATCCTTCTGGGTTACCAGATTATACAAAGATGCCCAAAACAATACTGTTCTGTGGTTGTATCTGTTGTTGTCACGTTCTTTTGGGGAAGAGTGAGAGGAGAGGTTGGTGAACAGGTGTTCTAGTCAACAGCTATATAAAAAAATAACAGTACATTATCTGTGCTGTAAAAGCATTAGTGTGATTTCTGGTATAACTTTTGCCTAGACCAGCTATCACCTCCTGGGTTAGAGCAGACTGAGAGTCATTCCCAATACACTGTCTAGGTAAAGCCACCTAATTTAGGAACTGGGATAGTGACTTTTAAAATGGGCAGATAATGATAGAACAAGAGGGAACAGTTTTAAATTAAAAGCGGAGAGATTTAGATTAGATGTTAGGAAGAAATTCTTGCCTGTGAGGGTGGTGAAGCACTGGCACAGGTTTTGCAAGCTATGGCTGCCCCATCCCTGAACTGTTAAAGGATGGGTTGAATGGGACTTAGAGCAACCTGGTCTAGTGGAAGGTGTTCCTGCCCATGGTAGAGGGGCTGGCATTAGGTGATTTTTAAGGTCCCTTCTAACTCAGACCATTCTATGACTCCATGAATATCATCGACAGGGCAAAGCTGTGTCACAGAAAAAGGAATAGGTTCTGGCATAACTGAAGTGACTATCTCTCAGGGATACTGAGGCATCCCAGTGGATTTAATCCAAATGTGAATAATTAGCCCCTGATGTTCATCAGCTGACCTCCATCTGGACCTGAATAATACCATGCATTCACTGTTCTCTCAACCAGACAATGCTGTCTGTGAGAATGCATGACACAAGATTAGTAGGGAGTGAAGTGACCCCAAGATCACACTCCCCTCTAACAGTCACTGAAAGGACAGTTAAAATGAGACAAAAAGAGGGATACATTCAAAATTACATGGGTACTGCATACAGGCAAGTAGTTCTGTACTGTTTTGACCCTCAATAAGTGGATTGCAATCAGGGCTACAAGTCATCAAAGCCTCAGAGCCAAGAAAATGAACAACAAACCTTCAATATTGCCAGGAGAACACAGTTTGCTGCCCTGCAAATTTTGTTTCCATTTATTTACAACAGTGTGATCTTTGCATGAGAAGGAGAAGGAGGGTGGGAAAAGTTGGCAAGTACTTCTCAGGCCAACAGCTTTCTCCCTGAACTCCATCAAACATTTGTAGGGTAAACCATTACTGTCTCACAGAGCCAGTGCTTTAGAAACTAGCAGGGGATTATCCGCCTTGTCACAAAAACTACTGCCCTTTGTGGAGTCCAACTTCTGCAAACATTTCATGATGCTGATGCATATGCTGCCCAATTGTCATGTTCTCATAAGACAATCTTTCAAAACCAGGATGATATTAATGAAATGTTCTATTCATTTGAATTATCTAATACGGTAATCAGGATGCACAGTCTGGCAAGAAACACTGCCATCCATTTCTGGAAAATGCTGGAATCTTTCAAAGCAATACATAGTTCTCCAAGTTTTAACCTGATGTGCAAACACTAGAACTATTTTCAGAGCTCTTCTCTCCCAGAGCAGTGAACTTCTCAGTAGATAGGTACTTTCAGAATTTTATATGTGCTCAACTTGAATTTGTCTTTGAAGCCTGCTGCTATCACACCTCAGAAAAATTTGTTTGCCCCAAAGCACGACTTTCTTTTCTAGCTGTATCAGTACATCTCATAAATTATTCAGAAACCTTGCTTAGGATTGGTTTCAAGAAATACTAACTACAATAAATCTTAGTCAGAAATACTTACGTGGGTATAAGTGGTCACTGATACTTTCTTTGTCATATTCCACAAATATCCCAAACAAAACAATGATGATCACTTCCAGAAGAAGTGCTGGGATAGCAAACTTGAACCTCATGTTGGTGTCAAACAGTGAAGGCAATGCTGGAGAGCAGGTAAGAGCTTGATAATGGGCGTTTGCCTTCAGCAGAGCTCCCTAATTCAGTGGCTCTGGGTGATAGAGAAAAAAAAAAAAGAAACAGAGGCACAAACACACAGTCACACCCACTATGGGAGGGAAAAAAGTATGGGTCATACAGTAATTTCTATTTCCCAGGCTACATCTGTGTGTGAAATGCTGTATTACATGCTCTCCCCCTCCCAGTTTGTATTACAAACCATCTCATTTAGCCACAGTTATGCTTCTCACTATCTTATATGTATTTTTAAAAGGAAATGTCCTTCAAGAAAATCTCACAGAGCCTGGTTTGCTGCACGTAGTAAGGAACACAGTGACTCTCAATTGTGTTTACTGTAGTCAATAATAATTTCAAGCTGTAGCCCTTGTTTTAAAAGGTAAATAACTTTTCATCTCACATGAAACATGGAAAATCTCCTATGTTCTCATACAGGATATGGCAGGCAGAGTGAATGTCTTTCAGCAGCCTGAAGACTTACTTGGATTTATTTCACAATGAATGAAGTTCTCATTCTCAGAGCACAAGTTCTTGATGTAAACTCTTCTTTAAAAAGAATATTATTATACTTCTACATAAGTAAAAAGGATATTCCTAGTTGCTAAAAAGAAAGATGTAGATTATTAAAAGGAACAATTTAAGGAAAACAACTCCATTTTTCAATTTGAATTATTGCTTTTTTGCAATTTGTGAACGAGTTCAGATTATGAGTTAAAAGACCAAATCCATTACATGGTTTTCAAAAGCTCAATTGGTAAAGGTTTTTACAAATGAAGGGGAAAATAAAATTTCACTTAGAGTACTAGGTGAATCTCTTGGATCCTGAGAGTCACATCACTTGTCAAAATTCATCTTGACTCCTAAAACCTTTGTGGATAAAATATTATATTGATGTGATAGTGAATCACTTGGCCTCTGTTAATTCAGTAGTCAGAAGATAGGCCAAAATTGTATGGTAGGAGACTTTATTTAACTGAAAATAGCATCTATTAAAAGAAGGGATGATATTGCAGGAGTAGGCTAGTTAGTAATGAAGCAGTAGTGTTAGCGTACAGGAACAAAACGCTGTGTTAGTGCTTGGGTATAAAAACCAGCATATATGTATAGATGCTGGGAGATTATGCTACATTGGCCTACTGTCCTGGTGAGATACTGTTGGAAAACTTCTCACATGCCATGAGATTGAAAGAACTCAGTTATTTTCAGGGTACCTCTATACTGGTGTACCAGGCAGTACCATGGCTTTTTCTCTGTTTCTAAGGCAAATTTTATAGTTGTCTAATATAAAGGCAGAATTAGACCATTATCCAATCCAAGTTTAAAATTACCTCAGCTTTTTCTCCTTGAAAATGAGTCTGTGGATTTGAAAGGGAAACCAAAGTATTTAGCAAGAACATACCAGTCTACTACAGAATCAAGCCTGCAATTGGCAAAGCTAAAATAAGCATATACGTGTTTTTCTTCATAGTAACTGTATTTCATTTGAACAGCTCAAAGAGAGGAAGCAGATCTTTGTTAAAAAGCTATTGCTCATCCTTGCTGTACCACAGGATAAGACAGACAGCCAGGTTTGGTTGTGAGGACCTGTGAGCTCCTACATTTGCACAGGAAGTGATTAAAAAAGAACAAACTCACGAGCAAAGTTCATTGTCTTTTAACCATATCTCAGCCATGAATATCATGTGTTATTCATTACATTAAGTTTTCCCTAGTGAAGATCTCACATGACATATGTGCAATCCTTATGTTCAGTCATTACAGGGGTGCTGAAGAGGTTCCTTGTTGAAATCTTGTTGAGGAAAGTGCTTTTTCATAGTGTTTAAAAATTAAAATGTGTCAAGTCCATTCAGTCAGGACTTTCTCTGAAATAATTACTTTATATCTTAAATTGGATACTGGTACATATACACACACAGACATTTCTGTGCTATCATGGTAGTAGAGTATTTCATTAAATATTAAATTTAATTCTTTGAGTCCACCAACCTATACCTCTCCTCAAGTTGGAAGGTCAGCCAAGTAAATGCAGTATGTCCATGCAGTTCTTAAATAGACTCCTTCACCTTACAGAGGGAAGTAACAGTAAGTAGGTTTTGCAACTATTTGCATAATGACAATGAGATTGTCTTGACTGGATGCATATAGTCTTGAGTGGATCCATATCATCCCCACTAGCCTCTTGCCTGATGTCTTACAAATGTTGGGAAAATAAGGTCACGAATGCACCACTAAAAATCTAGTATAGGAAACACTAAGAAGTCCCTCAGAAGATGAAGGAGCGATGGAAAAATTGCAGTCACAGATTATAGATAAATGGTGGTTTAGTTTAGATCAGTATTACAGTGTCTCTTGCTGAAGTAACTGCATTTTATTTTTCCACCAAATTTTCTTTTCTATGGAAGACCTTGCTTGATTACTATGCAACACTTTACCTCTCTCCGGTACACAAAGAACTGATAGAGGTTAAGACTAGAAGGAATTACTTAGCCGTTTTTTATCTCCCCTCTAAACAAAACAGGCCAGAGAATTACATCCAGTTAAGATGTGTTTTGCTAAAGCTTGACTTGTTGAAGAGGAGGGTGATTGGTTTAACAGTTCCACTCTTTCTTGTTCTGTTTTTATTGCATGAATGTTGCAAAGCAGGAATAAAATGCAAAAGCAGAAGCTTTTGGTTGAGGTGTATCCCAAACCTGCAGGAAAGCTGTTTACAAGAGATAACAGGGTTCGTTCTCCCTTCCAAAAGGGCCAGTTTGTACTGCTCTTGTGTTAAAAAAGGACCTACCACAGCTACAATGGATGCTTTGCATATATCTAAAAGTTCTACTTAGTACCCTGAGAAAGCAAAAAGAGATAGTAACAACTAGATGTCTATGTCTAGGTTTCAGATGGCACTTACAAAATTTGTTTGTGATAAATTCCTCCTTCCTACCACCTTATATACTGAGCATGATGTCATATGGTATGGAATATCCTTTTGGTCAGTTTGGGTCAGCTATCCCAGATGTATCTCCTCCCAACCTCCTATACACCCCCAACTTCCTTGCCAGTGTGGCAGTATGGGAAGCAGCAAAGGCCTTGGCTCTGTGTAAACTCTGCTCAGCAATAACAAAAACATCTCAACCCTGTGTTCCACTCAGATCCCAAACACAGCACCATACTAGCGACTGTGAAGAAAGTTAACTGTACCCCAGCCCAAACACCAAACACAGGGACATGTCCCACCAAACCAGGTTGCTCAGATACCCATCCAGCCTGACCTTGAACACTTCCAGGGATGGGCCAGCTACAGCTTCTCTGGGTAACTTGTGCCAGTGCTTCATCACTCTCACATAGCAGAATTTCTTCCTAATATCCAATTCAAACCTATTCTCTGTCAGTTTAAAGCCATTCCCCTTTGTCCTATCACTGCATGCCCTGACAAATAATGATGCTGACATTAAGTGGATGTATTGCAATGGTAAGTGTATTCCTCTCTTTGCCTTGTCTGTGACAGGTTGATTTATAATCCCTGCCTTGTGGACCAGGAACTTTTGTTTCTCTTACCAATTTTTTACTATTTTTCTGTGTTTCTGAGTTTCAAGGTGTCTATTCCATTATAATTTTGGCAATTTCCACTTCCCTGGTTTCCTAAAATGAGATAAATCCATTTCAGCTTCATAAATACCTTTTTTTCCCCCCACCAATGGACATTCACAGTTACAATTTTGTTCATTATAAGTTGGTGCTGTTCCTCAAAAGTCCTGTGTGCTGCATTTGCTGTAAGGAAAGACCACATCACCTGAGTGATGACTACAGGAAAACTGGCATGTTTTCTGTTCCAGCAAGAGGATTTCTTCCCATGTCTTCCCCTTCATCATACCCCTCTAATGAGAAGGTCAAGTATTTCTCTCTCCACAAAACCTTGCAGAGTGCACAAAAGGTACAGAAACCTGAAGTGAGCTACATTGTGCTAAATTTGCCACAATAATTGTGATGCATGCATGAAGGATCAAATAGGGTCATTAGGGAATATTCCTCAACGGAAGGATGTGTTAGCTTCAATTTCCCTAGCTAAGGTAGCTCTTGGGGTCCTTTGCACAACAATCCATCCACAACTGTCAGACTGGGGGGGGATTAGACTGTACGAAACAGGCTCCAGGGAGCTGATCCCAGAAGACTTTCTCCTAAGTGTTGCATTTCCATCATTTATATAAACATCAGCCTCCCAGAAGCTGAGCTGTAATGTTCTTAGTGCCACAGCATCAGGGTGCCATTTAGTGGCAATACATGAAATAATTGGTCTGACCTACTCAAGGATTTGTCGAGACAGAGAGATAGTAAATATCTTATTTCAATGGCTCAGTGGGTGCTGTAAACTCTGACGACACCACAAGTTAAACCCCAACTATGCATTCTGTACATGTGCTAACACTGATCCACAAGTTTGAATCATTTCCACCTTGGCACAAGTTGCAAATGTGGATAGAACAATCAGTACATAACAAATTCCTACAAGAAACTGCCTTATTGTTTGTTTTTCCTGTGTACAATTAACGTCTCCTTCAGTTCTCTGAATATTAGGCAAGTAGGGATTTCTTTGTTTGCAGCTTGAATGCTGACCAGATGAAAGACATGATTTGTGGCCTTCATAATTAATTTACATGACTGTTTTTTAGTTATCAGGAAGTAGGTAGTAAATCACTGAACACCCAGAAGTAGTCCTGTGCTATTGAACTGACAAGATGGATTTATTATTTCCTCACAGTGGGCCAAGCACAAATTCAATGAACAACTGCAACCCAACTTACTATCTAAAATACAACACCCCTTCCGGGACAAGCCAACACTGGAGGTACTACAATGAATTGGGAGCAAATAACTGTGGGCATATAAGGTAAAATATCTTCAATGGAAAAATCCAGTCTCACAAGTGTTCATACCAAGCTGTGAAAGATACAATTTT